CCGCCTGGCCAAGGGCGCGCTGCTGCAGCGCTCCAAGAGGTAGGGGCACCGTGCCGGCCCAGGCGCGGCGGGGACCCAGCAAGTATGAGTTGCCAGACGTGTGACCCGGCGGCATGGCAGGGGCCACGGAGGGCCGTCGTGGGAGCGGGGTCACGTTTTGAGATCAACGTATTCTCTAGGGTCCCAGGAGCTTCCCTTTGCTGTCTGTCCCTGGGTATCTTTCTGCCCGGGTCGCAGCTGGGGTGGTGACAAAGGCAGCAGCAAGTTGAGACCGAGTCAGGATTCGAACCTTGGACTCTAGGTCTGAGCAGAACCGTAGAGGAGCTCGGAAAGACTGAAGCTGCTCTGTCCCAAGGACCCATTCAATGGAAATGTTGGCTCAGAAGCAAATATTTACTGCAGGAGGCTGGCGTGTGGGTGGGAAGTCAGGACCAAATAGCTGGGTCAACCCAGGCAAGGCTGGGTCTCTCTGGAGGGAGCTGTTGGCTCTAAGGATCTGGGTTCAAGTTTCAACTTAGCCATCACCTGGCTGTGTGACCTCATGATGATCCTTAACCCCTCTGGGGTTCCTCATTGGTGTTTCTGTTGCCCAGGTAGGCAAAGTCTGGGCAGTGGGAAAGACCTCAGTGCTGAGTCCTGGGCTTAGACTCTCCTCTGAGATCCTGGGGGCACCCTGGAGTGTGTCTGGGCCTGGCAGAGACTGGGTACAGGAAAGTGGCCTCAAGGCCCTGTTTCCTGCCAAATTCTTATTCTGTGCTGTGTCCTGGGATCCATATGGATAGTTACTGCTCCTGAGCCTTCTCCAGGGAGGGTTGTGTAAACAGTTGGCTTTCGATAGGTGCTCAGGAAGTGAATGGATGATGCCTAGTTCTCCTTTGAGACTTGGATTTGGCTGTGGTTTCAAGGCCTTGCTTGGGAGCCAGAGGGAGGCCAACCAAGTGTTTTTTTCCAAATGCCACTGGAAGCAGCAAAGGACCGCAGCAAGCGCTGTGGGCCGCAGCGCTGGGGTGTGAGGATGTGGCGACTGGCGGTGTGTGTGTACATGGGGGGTTGGCAGGAAGTTTGGCAGAAACCTACCGGTTTCACTTTTGTCTCTGTGCCTCTCAGGCTAGAGGACATCCCTGTGGCTGTTGGCGTCTGTGGGCCTCGGTTTCCCAGTCTGGGAAATGGGTGCAGCTTATCTCTCCTCCTCTTGGCCTCGTCAGGATTGGGTAGGAGTTGGTGTCATGCCCCCTAGGAGTCAGGGACCTAGAGTGTTGTCCAGAGAAAGGCAACATGATAGGCACCCACCCGCCCGGGGTCCAAAGCTGAGCGCCGTGTGTGGGTCTCATGGAATCTCCCCCCATCCTTCGAGGTACACGGATGGGAAACAGGCTCCAGAAGGAGCTACGCGTGGGCCCCTCTTCCCTGCCCGGTTGTCGCCTGTGTTTACGGATCATGCCTCATGCCGTCACGTCTTGGCCTGCAAGCACTGTGCCTCCTGCCTGGGACTCCTCTCGTCCCTCTAGAGGCCCCAACCCTTGCCTGCCTCCCTGCAGTTCTCCTGCTGAGCTGCGTTGGTGGCTGCGTGGGGGCGCCGCACATGGGAGCAGAGCAGCCGTTGCTGGGCGACTGCTGGGGGTGGGGGGCAGGGAACTTGTCACTCCGATTCCTCTGCCAAGGCGGGGGCTGGGCCAGGGCCCAGGTGGGTGGAGGAAGGCCAGGCAAGGTGAAAGAGGCTGTGCCAGGAGTCTGGTGGCCAGAAGGGACCCGGGGTGGAGGGAGGACAGAGGGGCGGTGGGCCAAGGGAGGCCTGCTCACAGGAAGCCAGGTCACGGTCCTCTGATTCTTTGTCACGTGAGATTGGCATTTCAGGTGGATCCTGGGGGAAGGGGCTTGCCCACAGGTGGGGACAGTGGCCTGGGGCGCATGCGCAGGCGCAGTGGCTGTCTCAAGCCAGCGGGGGCTCCAGGCGTCCCCTCTACCTTATCTGTGGTCCACCTGGCAGTGGACGCAGCCTGGGCTGAGGGTGGGCAGCAGCTGCAGGCACAGACGCCTGAGGCTTGGCTGGGTCCCCTCGCCACGCGCAGTGTCCACCGTGAGGCCAAGGTCCAGGCCCAGCACCTGGGAGAAACCACCCGGGTGGCGGGTGCGGTGGGAGTGGCCCGGCCCACTTCCGTCCTGCCGCCAAGCTGGCCACACTTGTGCTCCCAGCCGGACATGTGGTGCCCTGCAGAGGCTGGGCCGGCCATCTGACTCGTCCCTTGCTACTCCGACAGCTGCCGCAGCGGGAACCGCAAAAGCTTGGTCGTGGGAACACCGTCACCGACTCTATCCCGGCCCCTGTCACCACTGTCTGTCCCAACCGGTGAGTGTGGGATGGGCCGCAGGCAGGTGCCTCTGGCCTGTCTCTGTCCCCTGACTCAGTGTCCCCGCCCCCCTCAGCAGGCAGCAGCCCCCTGGACAGTCCCCGGAACTTCTCCGCTGCATCTGCCATTAACTTCCCCTTTGCCCGGAGGTGAGTGGTCGCTGGCCGCAGGGGACAGTGGCCGTAGGGGACAGTGCCCAGCAGGGCCCGGGTGGGTGGCTGGATTTGCTCCTCATTCGCCTTCTCCCCTCCCCTCCCCTTGCCTGGTGGTGGTGTCTCCCTCTGGCTCCTGCCCCTGGCAAACAATCGGCCCCGGCAGCCACATCCACCGCGTGGACAGGTAATTGCAACGAGCCCTGGGGAGGACGAGGGGCACCTGACCCCAGAACCAGTGAGGCCCTAAACAAGTCACCAGTTCACTCATCAAGAGCTGACTGAGCACCTGTAATCTGTCAGAGACTTGAGTGTCACTTGTTCATTCAACATTTATTGAGCCCCTGCTGTGTGCGGTGAATGGGAGGCTGGACTCTGGCCCTGGAGGAGTCCTTGATCTGCCAGGGCAGCCAGCGTGTCCCCTAGCAGCTACGACTTAGATGTCAAGGCTGAGATTGGGGGCACGCTGGCAGCTGTAGTCAGGGAAGGCTTCCTGGAGGAGATGCCTGGGGTCAGGAAGAAAGCACACGCTGCAGATTGGCCAGCCCGTGCCCCCAGCTCAGCCTTCCCAAGGTCCTTCTTCCAACGGAGCCATTTTCTGCAAGCCACAGTACCTACCCGGAGTCCCCACTGGCTACCAGGACTGGGCCATGATGCCATCTACTGCTGTTCCTCTTTCCAGGGCAGACGGCAGAAGATGGTCCCTGGCGTCTCTCCCGTCTTCCGGCTATGGAACCAACACGCCCAGCTCCACCGTTTCGGTACCCAGGGCTCCTCCTTGGGGGGTGCACAGGCGGGTGCCTGGTGGGGAGAAGACACCTCTGGTATTTTTTCAAGGTCTCAGTTATCCAGGACAACCTCCTGGTTGTCCCCGCAGGCCCCATCCTGGTCAGTGGAGGGGGCCTCTGAACAGTCCCAACATTGACCCCAGCTAGCCCTCCGTCTGGGGGACCCAGGGATTCCAGGCCTGCGAGGCCAGGGTCTGACCGGAGGGAGACATGGGGATATAGGCAGGGAGGGCTTCCTGAAGGAGGGGGCGTGGGTTTGAGGGATGCCTAGAGGCAGGCAGGGGTGTGGACCCTGAGCGGAGGCACTGGGTCCTGGCTCTAACCCTGACCTTCCCCTCCCGACAGTCAAGCTCGTCCTCCAGGGAGCGTCTCCACCAGCTTCCCTTCCAGCCCACGCCGGACGAGCTCTGCTTCCTGTCCAAGCACTTCCGCAGCTCAGAGAGTGTGGCTGATGAGGAGGGCCACCGCTCCCCGCGCCTGCGCCCCCGCTCCCGCAGCCTCAGGTGGGCCTGGACCTCGGGCCCCAGGCCCAGCCCTTTCCTGGGCTGGTGTGGGGACCCAGACTGTCCCTCCTCCACCTCGGGCCCCCACTTTTGGCCCAGAGCCAGGCCCCTGCCTCCTCCTCTGGGCTGGGTCTTGTGTCCCATGTGGCGAACTGTCCACCCGTCCCCCTTTCAGTCCTGGGCGCACATCAGGGACCTTCGACAATGAGATCGTCATGATGAATCACGTGTACCGGGAGAGGTTTCCCAAGGTGAGCTGCTTGGTGGCTGGGCCGGCCAGTGCCGTCCTCGCCGCTGTCCACCCCAGTCTGTGGGTGTTATGTCGTCCTTGCCTGTCCCTCCGTCTCTGACCTGCCGCCTCCTGCGCACACTGCTTCTCTGCCCATCATCCCCTCCGTGGCACGTTTGCTCTGTCCTGTACCATGTGCACATGCCAATCCCCAGCCGCGCCCTCTGACCGGGTCCCCTTGTCATCCAGGCCACAGCACAGATGGAGGGCCGCCTGCAGGAGTTCCTAGTAGCCAATGCGACCGGCGCCCGGCTGGCCCTGGCGGACGGCGTCCTGGGCTTCATCCATCACCAGATCGTCGAGCTGGCCCGAGACTGCCTGGCCAAGTCTGGCGAGAACCTGGTCACCTCCCGCTACTTCTTGGAGATGCAGGAGAAGCTGGAGCGGCTGCTGCAGGACGTGAGTGGCCTGGGCTGGCGGCTGGGGGTCTATGGGCCAGATGGGGAGGAGGGGCGTGGCCTGTGCCTGACGCCACGCCCACCTCCCCAGGCGCATGAGCGCTCGGACAGCGAGGAGGTCGGCTTCATCGTCCAGCTCGTCCGCAAACTGCTCATCATCATCTCGCGGCCGGCCCGGCTCCTCGAGTGCCTGGTGCGTCCCCTTTTGCGCAGCAAATGCAAGGAGGACCGCGACAGTTCTCCCGTTGTGCAGGACCCAGGGGGCCACCTTGCTCGGGTGGGAGACCTGGGGAGGGGTCGGGAACTGCAGGAGCCAAGTGTGGGAGCCCCGCTGACCCCCTCTCCGCACCCCAGGAGTTCGATCCGGAGGAGTTTTACCATTTGCTGGAGGCGGCCGAGGGCCAGGCCCGGGAGGGCCAGGGCATCAAGACGGACCTGCCGCAGTACATCATCGGGCAGCTGGGCCTGGCCAAGGACCCGCTGGAGGGTGAGCCCGGCGGGGTGGGGTGAGGGAACTGGCCCAGGAACGTCCGAGGGACCTCTAGACCCCACTCCGCCCTGCCTTTTTTGTGCGGGCAAGTGCCCCAGATTCTGGGGCCAGCTCACCTCCGTGTCTTTGAACGCAGCATCAGCTGAGCCAAGGGCAGGAGTGAGGCTCAGTGGTAGGCGCCTGCCTGGCACTGGACGCCCCAGATTCCGCCCCAGCACTGCACGCGGAGGGGGGGGTTCCATTGAGGCCGCTGCGGTGGTGGGCACCTGGAGTCCCAGCTACGTGGGGCAGGGAACCGAGCGAGATCTAGTGCCACGACAGCATGGGACTTGGGCCAGGGCCAGGCCTGAGTGGTCTGGGAGACTGGGAGGAGGTGACAGTGTCCAAGCTGAAGGCTGGAGCTAGGGGAGGTGGCCTGCTGCAGGCGTGGGGGGCGCATCACAGGCAAAGGCCCAGGGGTTGGACTCTGCCCGGGTGAGGGATGGCGGTGAAGGTGCTGGCAGGGGATGGACATGGTCATGACGGTGGCCAGCATTCACCAGCACCGTTGCTATGGTAACCCTGTCAATGTTGCCATTAAAGCTGGGGAGACTGGGGCTCTGGGAAGATGAGGTCAGGCAGGTATCCACCCAGGTGTGCCTGGGACCAGACCACCCGAAGACTGGCCATGGCTGCCCCCTGGACCTTGGGGGTGGTGCTGTGGAATGGAGATGCTGCAGGTGGCAATGAGGGTCTGTCCCCGTGGGGGTGGCAGCGAGTGGCCCAGGCTTGTCTACTGAGCACCCTGGAGTGAAGGGCACCGAGAATAAAAAGGAGCTAACCTGAACCCCGGCCTCGTCCTGGAGGCTCAGGTGCCCCTGCCAAGCCCAGAGGCTGGAAGTCACGAGGCCTCCTGTGAGCAGTGCCCGAGTGGAGGGAGGGGTCTCAGCCTGAAGCTCAGAGCCCTGAGCCATCTGAAGCCCGGGCTACCCATTGACCTTCTAGAAGGTTCCTCAGTCATTGCTTAGTCCAGCCTCTGGGTTTGGCTCGATGGTGGTATCAGAAGCCTGGTCAGGATGTCCCCAGCCCAGCAGCAGCCCCACAGTACTCTGGAGGGAGCAAGGGGCAGGGCGTGAGGCCGTTCAAGCCTCTTCTCTCGATCTGCAGAGATTGAGCCTCTGAGTCACCTCGACGGAGGACAGCCCCCAGCACCCGAGTCCCCAGAGGTGAGTCATGCAGCACCAGGGTCCCTTCCTATCTGCTCTTTCCGGAGTAGGCCAGGCAGACCTAAAAGGGCTGGACTTGGGGGGTCGTGTGTGTAGTAGGTGCTTAATAAACACCTGTGACTGGGGAGAGGTGGCGGAAGTGGGTCTGTCCCCCATGAAGGCTGGGTGGGAGGGGGCACTGAAGTGAGCCTGGAAGGAGGTGTAGGAGTTTCCCACGGGAGGGGACCAGCTCTGCGGGGGGCAGGTCCTGAGCCCCTCCTGTCCCCTAGAGCCGTGCCCTGGTCGGCCCATCCCGGAGGAAGCCCTGTGAGAGTGACTTTGAGACCATCAAGCTCATCAGCAACGGGGCCTACGGGTGAGTCCTCGGGTCCCTGGCCCGTTCCTCCCGTGGGCAGGGGGATGGCTGAGGCCCTGGAAGCCCCTGTCCCTTGTCAGCAAGACTCTCACCCTCACACTGGACGGGCAGACAGGGCAGCTGAGGGCCGCAGGGACACGGAGACCCAGGCGCCAGGTGACTGCCTTGGATGGGCCCTGAGCAGCCTTGACCTGCCCCAGGGTAGAGGACCCTAGGGCTTGGGAGGCTGGTTGAGGAAGAAGATGACCCAGCACACAGCAGGCAGTGCAGGTCGTGCAGGCAGCCCAGACAGCTCTGCACAGAGCCGGGTCCCTTGCAGCTGAGACCCCTGGACACTGCGGTCTATTTCCTTCCTTCCTGGGTTGAACCCAGGGGCACTCGACCACTGAGCCACATCCCCAGCTGTGAGACAGGGTCTCCCTCAGTTGCCTAGGCTGGCCTCTAACTTGCAGTCCTCCTGCCTCAGCCTCCTGAGTTGCTGGTGACATCACGCCCAGGTGGACGTGACAGTTTAGGGTGTTACCATGGAAAAAGGGTGGGGGTCAAGGGGACTGCCAGGGAGAGGGGTGCTGGAGCAGGGCCTGTGTGTCCACCTGACACTCTGGGTCAGAGGTGCAGAGGGTGGCAACGGCTGAGGCCTCTGTACCTTTATCTGATCTGTGGTTGGGAGCTGGGCTGGCCACGTGGTTCTCAGTGGCCCTCACTCTTGCTTGGGCTTGTGTCGTTCAGATGTAGACAGAGTCTGAGCTGGATGCCAGTGGCCCTGGCGGAACTGGCGAGGCCTGGTGTGAGAGAGCAGCCAGCAGGAGGCGTGGAGGCAGGAGGAGGAGTGGGCAGGTGCCAGGTGCCAGTTAGATAGGAGCGGGGAGCCCCGGGGCCTCTGCACTGTGGGCGGGTTGGCTTGCAGCAGTTTATTATATATTTTATATATATCTAAAGATGGAAAAAATTACATTTAAGTATTTAATTTTTTTAACATCTCCATTTTATTTTTTTGTGGTGCTGAGGATCGAACCCAGTGCCTCACAGCGCGCTACCACTTGAGCCACTTCCCCAGCCCATAATTTTTTTTTTAAATTAAGAGTTCTAAGGCTCCCAACACAAAGAAATAATCAATGCGCCCAAGTGCAGTAGCTCATGCCTATTATCCCAGCGACCTGGGAGGCTGAGGCAGGAGGATCGAAAGTTCGAGGCCAGTCTCAGCAACTTAGCAAGACCCTGTCTTAAAATAAAAAATAAAAAAGGGCTGGGGATGGAGCTCGGTAGTAAGCAGCCCTGGGTTCAATCCCGAGCACCACAGACGTCAAAATAAAAATGTTAAAAAAAAGAAAAATGCTGACTGTTCAAGGAGGCGGAGGTGTCCCCATCCTTACATGTCGTGCGCGTGCATCCAGTGATCACACGTGCCCCATAGTATAAGTACAATTATGTGTCCATTAATCCGGGGCCAATACACAGCAGCCACCGTTGGCTCATTTGCATGACAGCAGCGGAGGGTGGCAGCTTTGGGAGGGGCGGTGGAGAGCGAGGGGCCTCCAGGAAGGCACCCCCGGGCAGGCTGGGTTCTGGGGCGGGGTGGGGCGCACCCCCTGGGGTCTGGGGCTCAGCCAGCGCCCCACCCCCAGGGCTGTCTACCTGGTGCGACACCGCGACACGCGGCAGCGCTTCGCCATCAAGAAGATCAATAAGCAGAACTTGATCCTGCGCAACCAGATCCAGCAGGTGTTCGTGGAGCGCGACATCCTCACCTTCGCCGAGAACCCCTTTGTGGTCAGCATGTTCTGCTCCTTCGAGACGCGGCGCCACCTGTGCATGGTCATGGAGTATGTGGAAGGTGGGGCTCCCGTCCTGCCTGCTCCGGCAGGCGCTCCCCCACAGCCGCCCTGCCCCCTGCCGACTCCAGCCTGCCCTGGGGGACTCTCAGGAACCCCTGATGGGAGTGCAGTGGGGGTGTCGGGAGAGGAGTGGGGGCGCACGCAGCTATTGCGCATGTCCATGCGGCCTGCCTTGCTCGGGAGCCCCACCTGCTGGAGGGATACCTGCATTACAGCGCCTCCGACCCAAAGCTAGGGAGTGTGCGTCCGTGTGGAGTAGCTGGTACCGAGGGGAGAGCAGCACTTAGTAGGCACCTGCAGTATGTACGTGCACCCCTCCCCCAGGCGGTGACTGCGCCACCCTCCTGAAGAACATGGGCCCGCTGCCCGTGGACATGGCCCGCATGTACTTCGCGGAGACGGTGCTGGCGCTCGAGTACCTGCACAACTACGGCATCGTGCACCGCGACCTCAAGCCCGACAAGTGAGCGCACGCCGGCCCCAGCCCTTCCCTGTGTGGGCCGTGGGGCCTGATGGCCTGATGGCCTGATGGCCTGATGGCCTGGGGGCGGGGCTTGCAGCCTGATGGCCTGGGGGCCGTGTCTGTCGTGGGTGGTGGGGTGGGGTGCAGGCTCCCTTGCCCAGGGGCCCGCCTGTTTCAACCATGCAGCATCATGGGGTCCCTCCTGGCAGGAAGGCACATGTGAAGTACCTGTTGTGTACAGAGAAGAGGACAGGCACTTAATAGGCACCAGCTGTATTCAGGGGAAAGCTAGCATGCTTATGGACATGCTGCCGGTCAGAGAGATGGGATATGTACTGAGGATGCACAAAACTGGGTAGGAGATACCATGCACTCACAGCCTCAGCCACACAAAAGGAGAGAATGTGCACTTATGAGGTGCCAGCTATGTACAGTGAACAAGGACATGCACTTTGCAAGACTTTAAGTGTAAAGCAAGTGACCAGGTGGGTTAGTCTAGGGAAGAGAGGAAACATGTTCCCTGAGAGTCTTAGGATAGTTACATTCTGGTATCTAGTAAGCACCTACTGCATACCAGGCCTCCACAAGTGACTGGGAGACACAGGACTACCTTCTTTTTATTTATTATTTACTTTTAGTTGTAGTAGGACACCACCTTTATCTTATTTATTTATTTATTTTTATGTGATGCCGAGGATCTGTATGATTTTTAAAGCACTCATTGAGCACCTTTGCATTTATTGAGCATCTGCTGAATACAGAGGAGAGAGCCACTTACTTATTGATTGCTTTCTCTATGTGAGGCAGCAATCACATGCTTCTAAGATACTTGCTGTGTGGAGATGTGAATGTGAGTGTTGAGAGCACAGTGTTTCCAGCCACCACAGTTTGTGAAACAAAGCAAATGTGATTTGACATCTGCTCTGCATCTGGCCTGGCCTCTGTGCTCTAAGGAACGCAAACCAAAGTAGGAGAGACTCTGCCCACTTAGGGCTGGGGTGTCATTGGCGGAGCACTTGCCTAGCACATGCAAGCCCTGGGTCCATCCCCAGCACTAGAAAGAAAAGGTACCAGGCGCAGAGGCACACACCTGTCATCCCAGTGGCTTAGGAGGCTGAGGCAGGAGAATTCCCAAGTTCAAAGCCAGCCTCAGCAAAAGCGAGGCACTAAGCAACTCAGTGAGGTCCTGTCTCTAAATAAAATACACAGGGCTGGGGCTGGGGCTCAGTGTCCAGTGCCCCTGGGTTCAATCCCTCATATTCCCCTAAAAAGAAATAAAAGGAGAGCAACAGTGATGTTCATAGTAGGTGCACACAGTTGCTTTATAGAGCCAGGGTACACAGATGGTAACAAATAAATGCTTCACTAAATGATGAATATACAGCATGAACTTTCCAGAAACTCATTTTTTAAATTTTTTTAAATTATTGATAAATCTTTGTTTTATTTATTTATTTACATGTGGTGCTGAGGCTCCAACCCAGTGCCTCACATGCGCCAGACAAGTGCTCCGCCCTGCCCCAGAATTTTTTTTTTTTTTTTTTTTTTTTGAGAGCAGGTCCCGCTGCCTTGCCCAGGCTGGCCTTGAACTCGGGGGGCCCAAGAAGTCCTCCCACCTCGGCCTCCTGAGTAGCTGGGCCTACAGTGGGCAGCAGCCCGCCCAGCTCTAGGAAAGTGTTCTGAACAGCAGGGCGCGGCCAGGCCTGGTATCCCCTGGGGCTGGAGATCAGGGTCCCTACAGATACCCAAATCGGCAGAGTCTCTTTTATAAAATGCAGCGTTTCCAAAATAACCCTCACACGTCCTCCTGTCTGCCCCAGTCCTCTCTGGGCCCCACGGGCCTGCAGGGTACCCGCCGTTGCTGTCCTGCGTGGTTCAGGGACCGAGGCCCGAGCGTGTCTGTGCGTGTCCGGTGCAGACACATATTTTTAAAATATTCTTCCGTCCACAGTCTGTTGTCTCTGTGGATGCGGAACCGTGGGTACAGGGGGCCAACTGTATACAGTAGGTGTTCAGCAGTGACACCGGACACACCTTGTCGGGCCACAGAGAGCCTGTGACACAGCCTGGGACCCGCGCTCTTCCAGGAGCCCTGCGGGGGAGGTGGGCGGCGCTGCAGGCCTGGGCCCCCTGGGAACTGCGCGGGTGACAGGTGACTTCGCCTCGCCCACCTGAGCGCCCTGCCCCTGCCCACAGCCTGCTCATCACCTCCCTCGGCCACATCAAGCTGACCGATTTCGGCCTGTCCAAAATCGGCCTCATGAGCATGGCCACCAACCTCTACGAGGGCCACATTGAGAAGGACGCCCGCGAGTTTGTGGACAAGCAGGTGAGCAGGGGGCACGGCCAGCCCCGGGGATGCCGGAAAATGGAGACAACTGACCCCTGGAGTTCTGCCCACCCCGAGGCCAGCCTGGCCTCCCCTGCTCCCTCTTGCGCCCCTCCTGGGCTGGGCCACCCTCAGCTCCCGCTCTGCTGCCAGGTGTGCGGGACCCCCGAGTACATCGCCCCCGAGGTCATCTTCCGCCAGGGCTACGGGAAGCCGGTGGACTGGTGGGCCATGGGGATCATCCTCTATGAGTTCCTGGTGGGCTGCGTGCCCTTCTTCGGAGACACCCCTGAAGAGCTCTTCGGCCAGGTGGTCAGCGGTGCGTTCCCTCCCGGCCCTGGTCTCCGCCCTCCTGGGTGCCCCCTCGGGGTTGGGAAGCAATGGCCCTGCCTGAGGATTGACCGCTGACAGTGTGCCCCGGGGACACGGTCCAGGGTGAGAGGGATGGACGGCTTCCCCATCATGGTGCTCCCTGTCCAGCAGGCAGATGGACAGTCAGAGAGAGGAGCCAGGCGCGGTGGAGCAGTCCTCCAATCCCTACAGCTTGGGAGGCTGAGGCAGGAGGATTACAAGTTGGAGGCCAGCCTCAGCAATGTAGCCATGTCTCAAAAAAAAAGGCTGGGGTGTGGCCGAGCAGTAGAGCGCCTGCCCAGCTCGCACAGAAGAAAAGGCAACTCTAGGCCCGAGAGTGCCCAGGAGGGGAGCAGGGCAGCCCTGGGGCAGGTGGCTGTGGTGGAGGAGCTGCAGGGACAGAAGACAGAAAGGCTCGGGAGGAGGGCACCGCTGTGGGCTGCCCATGAGGCTCAGGGGCACCCGGGAACCCAGGGCCAGGAGCACAGCGAGGGGGGAGGCGGAGGAAGGTGTGGAAGGCGCCTCACCCCTCCCTCATTTTAGATGAGATCATATGGCCCGAGGGGGACGAGGCCCTCCCGGCGGATGCCCAGGACCTCATCACCAGGCTGTTGCGGCAGAGCCCCCTGGACCGGCTGGGCACCGGTACGCAGGCGGGAGGGTCGGGAGGGTGTCCGCTTGGGACTCGGGGCCCAGGGACCGGGAGTGGGGATGGGCCCGGGGAGAGAGCTGTCCCGGGCAAGCTGCCTGGAGGGGGAGGCTGGAGCTGGGGTTTTGAGGGTCACATAGGAGTGCGCCAGAGCACGTGGCCTCCGAGAGCTGTGGGGTGTGGGGCTCCCAGGGGACGCTGAGGTTGAGGAAGGATTTGGGGCTGTGTCCTGACGAGGGGACCCAGGATCCAGCAGGGACAGGCCCGGGGTTCCAGTTCTGCCTGGGCCGCGTCCCGTTCAGGCTGTGAGGCTGCGGGGCGTGTCTGCAGGTGGCACCCACGAGGTGAAGCAGCACCCCTTCTTCCTGGCCCTGGACTGGGCGGGGCTCCTGCGACACAAGGCCGAGTTTGTCCCGCAGCTGGAAGCCGAGGACGACACCAGCTACTTCGACAGTACGTGGTCCAGAGGGTCCCCGGGGTGGGGGACGGTCCCCGGTGCCCTGCTGTCGGCCAGGACGTCCTCCTCAGAGGAGAAGGGGACACCCTGCCTGAGGACCCAGACCACCCTTCTCCCCCTTTGAGGCTGCTGCCAGGCACAGAGCAAGGGCCTGTGTCCCGCGCCTTCTCAGAACTGACTGCGTGTCAGAGGTCTTCTCTGAGCATCTGTTTCTTCTTTGGTGAAATGGGGAAAATCCTTTGCATGTGAAAGACAGTTTCACCTAATTCTGGACGACCCCTGTCAAGGGTGAGGAACCTGAGGCTCAGAGACAAGAATTCCTGTCCAGGGTCCCTAGAACCACCGGGCAGGGCCTTGGTCCTGTTGTGCCCTCCCTGCATCGCCTCCCAGCCCTTGGGGACACCTCTGGGCCATCGGTGGCTTCACGTGCCTCTCCCTCCCTCCCACAGCGCGTTCAGAACGGTACCGCCACCTGGGCTCCGAGGATGAGGAGACCAACGACGAGGAGTCCTCCACTGAGATCCCCCAGTTCTCCTCCTGCTCCCACCGGTTCAGCAAGGTGAGCTGGGCGGGGTGTGGCCGTGCGCAGGAAGTGTCACCAGGCGTCTGTCGTCTGCTAGCTTTTCTGGGTGTAGGGTTTTTTGTTTGTTTATTTTTGTACCAGGGATGGAACCCAGGGGCACTGGACCACTGAGCCGCTCCCCAGCCCTGTTTTGTATTTTATTGAGAGACAGGGGCTCACTGAGCTGCTTAGCGCCTTGCTGTTGCTGAGGCTGGCTTGGAACTCACGATCCTCCTGCCTCAGCCTCCCGAGCGCTGGGATGGCAGGCATGTGCCTCCGCGCCCGCTGTGTGTGTTTTGTAAATCGTGATAAAACACAGACAGCAAAGCTCGCCTTTTGGCCACACTGAGGTGCACAACTTAGTGGCGTTCAGCACAGTCACAATGTGTCAGCCCCCGCCCTGTCCAGCTCCAGGGCGTCAGCACCAGCCTAAAGGAGACCCCGTCCCTGCCAGCACCCCCAGCCCCCGCCAGCCCTGCAGCCCCTGATCTGCTTCCTGTGCTCAAGGACACATCTGTTCTGGACACTCTACGCCACGGGGCCTTTTGCTGGCTTCTGACACTCAGCGCCATGTTTTCAGGGTCTCTCCACCTTGTGTTCTGTGTTGGTGCTTCTGCCCTTTAGGGCTCGGAGGGTTCTTCTGTGTTCTGTTGGTCAGCCATCTGCTGGGGGACACTTGTGGTGCTTCTTCCTTGTGGTGACAGCCCTGGATGCTGTGCTGGGTGCTAGGTGCTGTGTGCTGTGCTGAGTACTGGGTGCTGTGCTGGATGCTGGGTGCTGTGCTGAGTACTGGGTGCTGTGCTGGGTGTTATTCTTCACCCCCACAAGCTTATGTTAAATGCCTCCCTTTATTTAAAGTTAGGTCAAAAATCCCTCTGCTCTGCTTTGGGCTGGGCCCTGGGTGGGACTCTGTGGTCACAAATAGAAGCCCCACCTCTGACCCAGTGGCCAGGCCACGCTGAGCCTCAAGTTTCCTGATCTGTACATCAAGCTAAAGACCATTGTCTTTGGAGGGAGTTCAACGGAGGCACCCGGCGGTGAGGAGGCGCGCGGCCTGACCAGCCCCTGGTGCGGCTGCGGCTGCCCTCGCCCTCCTTATCCCTGTGGTCTTTCGCCGCCGCCTCTCAGGTCTACAGCAGCTCTGAGTTCCTGGCCGTCCAGCCCACACCTACCTTCACTGAGAGGAGCTACAGTGAGGACCGAGAGGAAGGGTGGGAGCGCAGCAGCGAAGGGGAGAATGGCCGTCGGCCGAGCACTGAAGTCCGGTAGGTGGGCCAAGGGTGTAGGCAGATCCAACCTCTCAGCCTGCTGAGGTTGAAGGAGCTTCCCAGTGGCCCAGTAGAAAAGGGTCAGACACATTGGCCAGATTATCAGACCCCTCCTAACCTCACTCCCTTTGACTCTGCATTCCTAATGACACCAAAAACTAAAGCAGCTGTGCTCCATCACACCGCTGGGCTTTTGCTTACACTGTTCCTTCTGTCCAGAATGTCTTGTTAACAAACTCCTATTCATCCTTCAAAGCCCAGACCCAACAGAAACAATCAGTGTCTGCTGCAGAGTGGGCATTGGAGGCTGGGTTTTAAAGGTCAAGTAGGAGTTCTCCAGGCACCCAGAGGCCTCCCCTGTATTGCCTCAGCCTCCAGGCTGAGTGAGACCTGGCCAGGAGGGGCCACATACGCTGAGGTGCAGGCACCTGGTCAGAGGGACGCGCTCTCCTCCCGGCAGGCTAAGGTCCTGGACGTCCTCCGGTTCCTCCTGTCACTCGTCGCAGCCTGAGCGGGGCCCCAGCCCATGCCTCCTGAGCACCATCAGCCTAGACACGATGCCCAAGTTTGCCTTCTCTTCAGAGGACGAGGGGGCGGGCGCAGCCTCTGGGGACCCTAAGAAGCCCGTCTTCATTCTGGGGGAGCCCGACCCCCCTCCGCCAGCCGCCCCAGCGGTGCCCAAGCCCTCAAGCCTTTCCGGTGAGGGGGCCCGGGGCAGGAGGGCGCGAACTCTCCCAGAGGGGACTGTCTGCAGGGGGCTTTTGGGGTGCGCAGGAGGCCCCCGGAGCCCCAGCTTCCCAGGGTCAAGATGGGGTCGGGGAGCCCCGAGAGGACACAGAGGTCCCACTGGGAGGGAGAGAAGGCGCCTCCAGGAAAGGGGGGGACTTGTGGCGTCTCCTGGGCGCAGTTCGGGAAGGGTGTGGGGGGCAGGGGACGAGTTGGGGCGGCTGTGCGTATGCCAAGCGGTGACCTCCCGACCCCCCTCAGCTGACACAGCGGCCCTGAGCCACGCGCGCCTGCGGAGCAACAGCACGGGCGCCCGCCACTCCACGCCGCGGCCCCTGGATGCCGGCCGGGGCCGCCGCCTCGGGGGCCCGAGGGACCCAGGCCCCGAGAAGTCCCGGGCCTCCCCCAGCAGTGGCGGGGGCAGCGGGGGACGTGTGCCCAAGTCAGCGTCCGTCTCCGCCCTGTCGCTCATCATCACAGCAGGTAACAGCGGAGGCTCCTCTTGGCCCGAGGCTACCCAGGTGTGTGTCACCAGCAGGCCCAGGACAGCTGTGGCCAGGGACTCGGGAGCTGGGAGGGGGTCCCGAGCGGGTCCCCTTGGGCTGAGCCCTAGAGGAGGAAGTGCTGGTGCCTGGGGACCAGCTCCAGGCCTGGGGACGTCTGTGCTGCTGACCCCCCCCCCACCCTGCCCACCGTGGGGGAGGAGGCTGCCCTGTGGGGACTCACAGGCAGTGACTCCCCGATGCCCACAGATGACGGCAGCGGTGGCCCCCTCATGAGCCCCCTGTCCCCGCGCTCCCTGTCCTCGAACCCGTCCTCCCGAGACTCCTCGCCCAGCCGGGACCCGTCCCCCGTGTGCGGCAGCCTGCGGCCTCCCATCGTCATCCACAGCTCCGGCAAGAAGTACGGCTTCAGCTTGCGCGCCATCCGCGTCTACATGGGTGACAGTGACGTCTACACCGTGCACCACGTTGTCTGGGTGAGTGGGAGGGCACCCAGGTGAGTGGGGACAGCAGGGTGTCCTGCCAGTGTGGCTCCCACCAGTGGCAGAGGCAGCTGGAGTCTGTCTCCGCCCTGCCCCTGGTCACGGTGGCAGGTGCGCACGGTGGCAGGGGCACCGATGCCCCCCACTGCCCAGCGCAGGGAGGCCTGTGAGGGCAGCAGCTGGGGCCCTGGGATGTGGGGTGCCAGCCCTGAGCCTTGTCCCCCTGTCCCCAGAGCGTGGAGGACGGGAGCCCCGCCCAGGAGGCGGGCCTGCGCGCCGGCGACCTGCTCACGCATATCAACGGGGAGTCGGTGCTGGGGCTGGTGCACATGGACGTGGTGGAGCTGCTGCTGAAGGTGCCCGCGTCCCCCTCCCTCTGCCCCCTTGTGACCTGCCAGAAGCCATCCTGCCCCCTGGCCACCCTGTGTGGCTCGCCCCAGCGCCCTGTGGCCATGGGCAGCCGACCTAGGACCGTGCCCAGGACAGGATGAGCAACGGGGAGGGGCCGAGGCGGGCGCTGCTGATAGCCCCCCCGGGACCACATGGGGCGGTGGATGGCTCCAGGTGGCGGGGCGCAGACCGTGGGCTGTGTCTTTGACCCTGTGGGTGGCAGGCCATGAGGTGAGGGTGTGTGGACAGGGAAGGGGGGACACTGGGCAAAGAAATGGGCGGGGGGGGGTGCTCCTTGTCTGGTGCGCAGGGCCCCGGGCTCCATCGCAGCCTGGACCGCGGGCCCTGGGAGGCGGAGCTGGAGGGCATTCAGTGCTGGGGACGGAGCTGGGTCGCCTGGCGGATCCCAGCGCCAGAGCACAGGGGCCCGCAGGCGACCCTGCCATCTGTCCACAGAGCGGTAACAAGCTCTCCCTGCGGACCACGGCCCTGGAGAACACGTCCATCAAGGTGGGCCCGGCGCGGAAGAACGTGGCCAAGGGCCGCATGGCGCGCAGGAGCAAGCGGAGCCGCCGGCGGGAGACCCAGGACCGGTGAGCGGCGGGCTGCGGGGGACGCGGGGCGCAGGCACCCACTTTCCGTTACTCATCGTGTCCTCCGCACGGTCCCCAGGCGAAAGTCGCTCTTCAAGAAGATCTCCAAGCAGCCGGCCTCCGCGCTGCACACCAGCCGCAGCTTCTCCTCCGGCCTCCACCACTCGCTGTCCTCCAGCGAGAGCCTCCCGGGCTCGCCCACGCACAGCCTCTCCCCCAGCCCCACCACGCCCTGCCGCAGCCCCGCCCCCGACGCCCCAGCAGGTGGGTGCGCACCCAGTCCCCAGAGGGCTGGTCCCCAGGAAGGAGGCAGCAGGACTGGGGTCAGGGGTGACCACCAGGAGCCTTCCCGCCTCCTAGGGCCTAAAAGGCAATCCAGGGTGGCCAGAGAGGATGTGGGGGTCGGCGAAGGGGGTGCCCAGCCGAGGAACACCGTGAGCCCTGGAGCAGAAGGGAAAGCAGGAGGCGGCTGCTGGCGCTTTAGGGAACAGATCCCGCCAGAAAACTGGGTTTAAAATGGGGGGCGATGGGGGGGGGCATGGAGACTGAGCTGGGTGGGGAGGGCCGGTCTGGGTGTTGGGAAGATTGTTGACTTGACCTGACCTTGAGAGCCCCTAGTCTTCCAAAGGTAGACAGATCTGGGCTAAGCGGCTCACACCTGTAGTCTCAGCTGCTCAGGAGGCCGAGGCAGGAGAATCACAAGTTCAAGGCCAGCCTGGGCAACTTAGCAAGACCCTGTCTCAAAATAAAATTTAAAAGGGCTGGGGGTGTGGCTCAGTGGTAGAGCACCACTGGCTCAATCCCGAGCCACCCCATACCCCCTACCCCCCCACTCCCCACCAAAAAGACACACACGCCACTGGGAAAGGGTCGGACCTGAAGGAGGGAGAAACTGAGGCAATTCAGAGGGGAGGCAGGGAAGGCTTCTTGGAGCAAGGGGTGAGAGGGCTGGGCTTTGATGGTTGAGTAGGAGTTCGCGGAATCTAGGCCAAGGGAAGGGCCCTGTGCAGATAGGTGGCAGCGGTGAAAGACGTGGGCTTTGGCAAGTTTGGTGGGTCCCAGGGCCCCACCTGCAGGCTGGGGACCTTGAGGCTGGTGGCTCTGACCTGTGCCTGTCACCCACAGATACCGCATCCCCACCCAGCGTGTCCCCGAGCTCCAGCAGCCCTGCCTCCCCAGCCGCTGCTGGCCACACCCGCCCCAGCTCCCTGCACGGCCTGGCTGCCAAACTGGGGCCGCCACGCCACAAGACTGGCCGCCGCAAGTCCACGAGCAGCATCCCTCCGTCCCCGCTGGCCTGTCCACCCGTGGCTGCAGCCCCACCGCGCTCGCCCTCGCCCCTGCCCGGGCACCCCACCCCCCGGTCCCCGCGGCTGCGTCGGGGCCAGTCAGCCGACAAGCTGGGCACAGGGGAGCGGCTGGATGCAGAGCCCGGGCGCCGCAGCCGCGGGCAGGACTCGGAGCTGGTGGTGATGCGGCGGCTGCACCTGTCCGAGCGCCGAGACTCCTTCAAGAAGCAGGAGGCGGTGCAGGAGGTGAGCTTCGACGAGCCGCCGGAGGAGGGCGCTGTGCTGCTCGCCGCGGTGCCGCAGATCGCCGTGGAAGGCGCCGAGAGCGCGCCCGGAGCCCCGGCCGCGAAGGACTGAGCCCAGCCGCCGCTCCCGGGCCTCAAAGCCACGCGTTCTTCGTGCTGTCTTTTAATGTAAAGTCACGCCTGGATGGAGACTGACACTTCAGCCTGCGACACCTAGAAGGCAAAAGCCATCTGGGTCCTCCCTCGTATTCTGGTGGCCTTGGGGCAGGAGGAGCAGGGATGGGGCCCGCGGTTGACGCTGTAAATGAGTCCTTGCAACTAATTTATTACTTTTTATAAGCAATAGTCAGACTGGCCGTTCCGGAAGGCGGCTGCCAGGTCTGGCCCCAGGCACCTGAGACCCCGACTGCAGACCCTGCCCTCTGGGCTGAGAAGGAAGCACTTTGGACAAGTCGTGTGTGTTTGTGTTTTCTAGTTTGTACTTTCAAAGTGTGTGTGTGTGTGTGTGTGTCCGTCCTGATCCTATTTCCAACCCAAGATTGATTTGAGAGGAGGCAACCAAGCTCACTGGTCCAGGCCGGGTTTGGATATGACCTGGAGGGTCCACAAATTGTGCTTCCCCCAAAACAATCTCATCTCAATGATCTGGATTCTGAGGGTCACTTCCCGCTGTCACAGCTGCCATCCCCAATCCATCCTTGCTGGAGTCCGCCTCCAATCCTGCAGGTAGTGGGCATGGGAGCTGGGGCTTTGATGGATGAGTAGGAGCTCACCAGGTCTAGACAGAGGTCTCCTACTCCACTGGCAGGTGTCCCCGATGCCCTGGGAGGCACAGGCCTCAAAGGCTACTGCCAAGGAGGGGGTGTCTACTCTGGACAAAATCCTATGTGTTCAAGGTCCACCAGAGTGAGCCCTTGACCACGGTATGTCTGAAACATCCGTCAGCAGGTCCCTCAGAGCCTCCCTGGGAAGAGGTTCCAATGAGGAAGGCCAGCTGAGGGCAACAAGACCCAGGTTTGAATTTCAGCTTCACTGTGTGGCTCTGGGAAAATGGCTTTCCCACTCTGTGCCTGAGTTTCCTTGTGTTTACAAGACTAATCCCAATGACTATTTATTAAGCACCTACTGTGTGCCAAGCGCTTTTACTCATGGCTTCTCCCTCTGCCGGCCTCTAGAAGGCTGGAGGTGGTATTGTGATCTCTATTGTACAGTCCAAGCAGCTGAGGCCCAGCAAGGGGCAGAGACTTGGCCCAGGGTGGCCCAGGGAGGGTCCTGGTAGAAGAGAGCATCTGCCAGGCCCTGTTGCAGGCAGTATCATCAAGAGAGCTTGAACGGTGTCAGCTACAGCAGATTCTAGCCCCGGCTCTTTCCCAGTGATGCTGCGGGTGACCCGCTGGGCACCTGGGAGGCAGCTGGTGAGACTGCTCACCCGCCTGGTGAGGGAGATTCCCGCGCTGCAGCCTGCTCTGCATTCCTCCCTGAGCCCTCGCGCTGCCTGGTGTTGAAGGGCAGACCTCGGCTGTGCATGACTCGCCCCTCCGTCCATCCTGGAGCTGGCAGTGAATAAAAGCCACACTTACAAAGAGGAGGTCTCATGTCTATTTGTGAGGGGCTGCAAAGGGGGCAAAGGACGGGAATGGGGAGAAAATTGACTCCGTTCAAAGTCACGTGAAATGGGTTACGGAGACTGAAGATGCCCTTGATTCTCTCTCTGGCATCTTCTCCGACCCTGGCCCCCTGCTGCCCTTTCCCTGGGAGTGCCCATCATGGGAACTACCCTTAAAACCTTCAGCCTGCCAGGTACAGAGCCTCTGCTACTCTAAAGGGCTGGGGCGGAAGGATCCCTTGAGGGCGGGAGTTCGAAACCAGCCTGAGCAACACTAGGAGACCCGCCGCCCTCTCCCCAAAACAAACAAAACCTTCGGATACTGGTCTGGAGTCCTGAGCTGTGTTAACAAAGACAAAGCCATCGTGGTGTCCTTTGTATTCTGATCGTTGCTTGGGCTGTGCCATGCACTGTGCCCCACCCCGAACCCGGCCCGAGTGCTGTCGGCTATTTCCGGAGCTCTCGACAGTCTGAGAAACATCCTTGGCCACGCCCCCAGTTCCGAGTGTCTTCAGCTGTTTCCGGAAACAATCGTGGATGTGTGCCCAAGTCAGCCACGTTCTAGCTCCGGCCGGGACTCGAGATTTTTCGGCTGTTTCCGGACGCTCCAGGTTGCCATGGAAACGCCTCCAACTCCGCCTCTTTCTCGAAGGCGGTCGGCTGTTTTCGGAGGCTAGCCCTTCCCCCGTTCCGTTGCCCACTTTCCTGAACCCGAGTCCCCCTCACCCGCCGTCTAGAACCGTCCATGCTTCGGAAACTTCCGGAATCTGACAGTAGTCTCTGGGCCTAAATTCCCAGAGTCTCCGTTTGGGACGAAGCACGCTAGGTTCTTTCCAGCAACTCCCCGCGGTCTCTCAGCTCAGCCTCTGTTCCACCAAACCAGCTGGAGCGCGTTCGGCTATTTCCGGACTCGCTCGGGGGTCTTTTGCTCCTGCCGAGTCCGGCTTCCACCGACCCGATCTTATTCGGCTACTTCCGTAACTGTTCGGCTGTCTCGCTGTAACCTCCAGCCGGCCAGTCCCGCGGGAGTACGTTCGGCTCTTTCCGGAATCACTCAGGCGTTTTCCCCGCCCCGACTCCGCCTAGGTCTTGGTGAACTCGCCGGCCCGAATGCGCTCGTCCATTTCCGCCGGGGGCGGGCCCGGCCGCTCGGAACCGCGGCGACGGCTGACGAGGGGATCCCGCGGCTGCGGCGACGGCGGCCGCGGTGGAGCCACGGGGCGGATTCGGCTCAACGTGACGGCGGCCGCGGCGGCGGCGGTGGCGGTCGCGACCAGGTGAGTCCCTAGTGGCCGTCGTGGCAGGAGGGGCTGGGAGTGCACTGAATGCGGGGCCCCTAGGCAGATTACAGGGCCCCTGTGGAAGCCGGACCACAGGCGCGGGCTGCATCGGGCCCCGCGGGAATTGGGGGGCCGCAGGGAAGGGGAGGCGTCGGGCTCCCTCCGCAGCCGTGCAACCTGCCGGGGACGGTCGGGACGGAACGGGGGATTTCGCGGCGGAGATCCAGGGCCGGAGCCGCGGTCCCCCATGCAAGAAGGCCCCGTCTGGAGTGTGGCCTCGAGCGGTAACGAGGGGCGCCCCGCACTGGGGCACAATGGGGTGCAGGAGGGTCTGGGGTCGATCCCACTTCCGGTCTCCTGGCTGGGCTGCGGGGTCCACGCAGGCCGGAGTGTGCGTCTGCGTGAGCACGCAGGCAGTGTGTCCACCCGCGGAGCCCCCAGCCCTGCTGGGGCTCCCTCGCCTCTCGAATTCGGGGAGCGCCGTTTCCCCAGCGTGTGCAAACGCGTGCACACCGGGGCGCGGGGGCGGCCAGGCGGGCGGATCCAGGAGGTTTTCTGGACATTTCGTATCCGGGCCTCAGTTTCCCCACCTGTAGAATGTGGGTGACCAGGTTCAGAGAGCTGGTTTATTCGGGCACCTGAGAGTGTGGAGCCCCGGCTCTGTGCTCAGACACCTCCTGAGAGTCTCTGTGGCCTGGGGCTAAACCCCAGACCCTTGGCACGAGGCGGTTGTTGGATGGCGCCTTTTCTTCTAGCCACCTGAACTCTTGGCAAGCGACTTGCTGCTGCCAGGCCTTCGCATGTACCTTTGCAGAGGCTGGGAGGGGCCTGGTGCGCCCTCTTAGCTCTGAGGCAGATTCTCTAGACTGCACACCCCCGCCCCGGCCCCATCCTCACAGGAGAACCAGATCTGCAGGGCTGGGGCTGGGAACATGGAGGCCCCATCTCTGCTCCTCCAGGCCTGAGCTCCTGGGGGACACTCATCACTCAGCACCTGGCATCTACCTCCCTTGGCGGCCACAGTGCCCTCCTCCTGTCCACCCTCTCCTGGCTCCCTGTCCTACCCTGTAGCTAAGGTCTGGCTGGCTCTTTGCCACACCTCCCCCCCTACTTTTTGCACCTATTGTGGGCCCCAGATAGCCAAGCTAGGGACACCCCAGCCCCCTGCCTGCTCCCCTGCAGAGACTGGAAGTCCCTGTGCTTGGACTTACTCTGCAGGTGCCAAGGGCTTTCCCTGGCCCTCCCGACCTACCCTGTGCACCCTCTGCTGCCTCCTCCTCTGCTCCACCGGCCCCCAAGTACTTTGAGTGGCTCCCATTTCACCCTGCTTGCTCTGAGCGCCACTGGCCATGTGACAGCCACCGCCTCAGCTCCATCTGGGCCTGGGTGTGAGTCCTCGCTTCTCCCTGGCCCATGGAGTGGCCCTACAGAGACCTCCCTGCTCTGAGCCTGGTTCCCATCTCAAACGAGGATGAGGAGCTCGCTCAGCTGAGCATAAAGTTTGTCCAGCTCCACTCCCCACAGCCCTGAGGGAGGGCTGCTAATGCACCCATTATACAAACGGGGAAACTGAGGACAGGAAGGAAGGGCACCCAAGGCCACCCAGCGATTCAGGGGGTTCCGGCCCAGGATTTGGATTTGGGCCCATCTCTGTGTCAAGGGTGTGCATCATGTGACTGTCACTGCCCTGTCCACCTGCAGGTCAGCGACCCTGGCCAAGCATGGTGGCAACCTGTGCCCTTGGCTCCCCCGGCTCCCTCACCTGGTACAGCTGGAGGAGCTGCCAGCCTCGGGCACTAATGGCCCCTCTCCTGAGGGAGTGATCTGCCTGCTCCAGCGCCCCTCTCCCATGGGGAACGCAGTGGCCAAGTGAACTGCAATCACTGCACCAGCCCCCGCCCTGCAGCTGGCGCATGGTGGACACAGCAACAAGTGGCCGTCGCGGAGTCATGGAATGATGGTGCGGAGCCAGGCATGAGCGGCCCCCAGGGTCGCCTTTGACTTCGGCTGGAAATCGAGGCCTGAGCACCCCGAGCCCACCCAGTGGATGGGGCCGTCAGGGCCCTGAGCAGCTGCCTGACCATCCCATCACACGGCACCCAGCCATGGCCGACGGCTTCCAGTACCGCGCACTGTACCCATTCCGCCGGGAGCGGCCAGAGGACCTGGAGCTGCTACCCGGCGACGTGCTGGTGGTGAGCCGGGCTGCGCTGCAGGCACTGGGCGTGGCGGAGGGCGGTGAGCGCTGCCCACAGAGTGTAGGCTGGATGCCTGGCCTCAATGAGCGCACCCGACAGCGAGGTGACTTCCCTGGCACCTACGTGGAGTTCCTGGGGCCTGTGGCTCTGGCCCGGCCAGGCCCTCGACCACGAGGCCCCCGCCCACTTCCTGCCAGGCCCCGGGATGGGCCCCCCGAACCAGGTGAGCAGCAGGCAGAAGCCTTAGGAAGAGGATGTCCACTTGGACCCTCAGTCTTTTCTTCTCTGCAAGGAGGCACTGGGGTCTCTCTCAGGGGCGGAGGAATAAGGACATGGGTCGTTTATTAGATGTGTGTTTGGGGCGCTGCTGTCAGCTCAGCACTGGACACAAAGCCTGGCCCTGCCCTCACAGGACTTCTAATTCAGGACGATGGGAAGGTGATGATTGGTGGCAGAGGCTGTGCAGAAGGCTTGCAGGGAGGAGCGGGGGTTGGAGGAACCCAGGCAGTGGGCACAGCAAGGGTGAGGGTGGTGACATAGCAATGGCAGGTTCAGGGGACGCTGGCAGGCTCAGAGGGTGAGGAGTGCTGAGGAAGGGGGCCCACCGAGGGCGTGGACAGTGAGTGGTCCCGGGATTCAGAGGCCCCATCTAGCTTCGTCCTGCGGTTTGCAGATGGGGTTCCTGGTAGAACCCCTTTGATTTTACTTGGTTTTTAAGATCAAGGGAGCCAAAACCCAAGAGGGTGGGGTGCTCGCTAGAAAGGAGCCATCCCCACTTCCCAGGAGGGTGCCCGGAGCAGAGAGGCCGGGCACTGAGCGAATGTGGGGCAGGCAGGGGCTGTGGGTTCCGGCCAGGAAACGGAGGCCCCGGTTGAGGCGAGGGGCGCTGAGGACCAGCCTGGCCTGATCCCGCCCTCCCGCGGCCCAGGAAGCCCATGGGCAGGTTGAGACCAAAGGACTCAGGGTCAGTCCCCAGGGAGGCCAAGGCCCCAGGGGGCGCCAGGCTGCTCTGCGCGGTCCCCAGATGCTCAGGCCCGAGTCCCACAGCAGGGGGCAGAAGGGGGACGCAGAGGTTCCAGCTTGGCTTGGGCCCCACGGCATCTGGCGTCTCCAGGGCCCAGGCCTGCGTCCTGCCTCGGCCTGAAGGAGCAGGAGGCGGCCCCATCCGGGCTCCAGGCCAGACTCTGCCTCTCCCCCTGGTAACAGCCGCCTCCCTCTGCCTGGCCTCGCTCCAGCCCCCACACCATCTCCACTCGGGGCAGCTGCCCAGTCTCGCCCTCCAAACGTTCAGGGCCGTGACCTGCCAGGCTGCCCTCCGCAGAGCTGGGCTTCCCTCAGGAAATGGCAGCACTGGTCTGTGCGCCCTGGGACCCCCGGGAGCCAGTGGAGGCGGGTTTCTGCCATCAGCGCAATCAGGGCGCCGAGGCGGAGTCCCAGGGCCTCCTGGGCCTACCTGGCCAGCGTCCATGGGAGGCCCCGTGGAGGCCCAGCCTCTCTGAGC